ATATATGTACGTTCGTGTCTCGTGCCACTCTTCTTATTTACCCGACACAATAAACGAGCGACGGTTGCCGAAGCGCGGTTCGTTTTTAAACGATGAATCTTCGGGAATCTACGACCTTATAAATCGCGTTGCTCTATGAAGACCGTGGGATGTGCACGTGACAAGTTGGCTGAGGATTTTTACGCATTTATGGGAAATATGATGTAATGTATAAGAATATTTCTTATTATTTTTATTATTATATTTATTATATTTTATTATTATTTTCCTATTATAATATTTAGACGTAACAAATTTCCACTTCACTTCGTTTTTCTTCCATTCACTTCCTCAAAAATATCTGTTAGTGTAATTTGATTGGTTTTGTAATTTCGATTAAACAACAAGATTTTTAATACATGATTGAGAATGGAGAAACCTGTTAAGTCTAAAGTCAATGTAACATTGACTGATAGTCTTGTACTAAACTAATTAAATAGATATACGTATGCTAATCTAAGCTCATTCTTCGATTCTCGTATATTCAATAATTTTAATAATTTCATTTTACACTGTTAAAAACTCCTTGTCTTCAATTTCCAATATAACTGTAGAAATATACAAATGATAATAACGGTTCGAAAGATGTAGATGAGAAGTGTAGGTCTTTTTTCAGAATTTGGAACAGAGACTGAAGAAAGAAAAAGAAAGAAATCGAAGTGAAAGGAGGACGAAAGAAAAAATGTAAAAGCAACCCAAAGAAAATACATACATCGTATTTTTTTTTTTTTTATATTGTCGGTGTTCGAAGCCGATCAACAATTTCACAGCTGTTTCGGACGTATAATTCGCCCGGCGAGCGAGATGTTTTTGAAAGTTGTTTGGACGTGACGCTTTCGGCGTACCTCCGAGCTGTAATCGTGTTAAAAAGTCATGATGATTTTTTTTTTTTTTTTTTTAAGTTTTATTTCAACGTCAATGGGGAGTTAGCACACGGGAGATAGCCTTCGGCCAGGTTTTTCGTTTTCGACCGGGCGATCATTCATTTTTCATTGGATACCTCGCGGTGACGTAAGCTTCCGTTGAGAGCAGAAAATTGAATTCGAGGTCTATGTAATATTCATTTAAAACATTTCTTCTTCGAGCATCCGAACTTTTCTCTCCTTCTCTTCACTCGACATCGATTTGCTTTCTTTAATGGTCTAACTGCCTCTTTCTTAATTTCAAGAAGGCACGAAATCTTCAACAAACTTGAATAAATTTTGCATATCCTAGCTTGTGTCGTATTGCAGAACACCGTTTGCCAATAATTCGTTAAACCTCTCGTTGATAATAACAATAAAAGATAGGTAGAGATATTCGTACCTCTCTGGCTTTGACGAAATAAATCCGAGAAACATGTGTTGTACCTACACACACTTCCAAATACAATATTTCAAGAAATTTCATTTTTAAAATTTAACATTTAAAAAATATATTTAGGATGATTAATATTTCATAATAATGAAAGTACGAATACCATAAAATAAAATATTTATATCTACTCAGGGAAGTCGACGTTCCATACTTGCTCCAAACCATGCTCGAGTACATCACGCTGTATCACAATTCAAAACGTTTGCAAGCGTTCGCCTACGTACATATGTGCTTTCGAGCATCCAACGTGCAACAACAAACGTTTGTTCCATCGATTAAGGTGGCCGTTTGTCCGTTTTTACAAACGAACAGCAAAGCGTATCGAAACTTTTACAATTGTCAAACGCCTCGTAACCCCGCGGAGTAAGTGGCTCGTAACAGTTAGCACTGCGTTCCAATCTATCGCGCGTTCTTTATCGTCTCGAACCTAATCGGATTGCAAACTCTCATTGGCAAACGATAGAGGCACTCGGCTACGAAACGCGGCGCCCTTCCCCTCCTCCCATTATATAACAACTCCCGTTTATCTCGTGTACACGCGTATGTACAATCGTCGCCTGGAACGCAACGTTTCCAAAGGCAATCAACCGTTTTACATCCGCTGCAGACACACAATTTACTCTGTCCCTGCACGCTTCTTACTACACCGGCGTTCGACGTTCCTAACGTGCGCCGTGCCGTTTCATTTGCATCGATACACTTTCCACAACGGCTGGTACCGGAAACTGCTGGTACACGACACATCCCGCCGCCGGTTCCATCGTGCGCGCGTTGCACGGCAACTTGGAACGCAGCTTTTTCCGGCTTTAGACGATTCACGCTCGAGTTCGTTTCAACGTCTGCCCGTTTCGCTTCATATCGTCGTGTTTTGCACGTGAAATATTTTCGCAAAAGTCGAATCTCAATGAATCCTACCGGGAGAGGGTGAGGAGAGAATTTTTGGCGCACTCATGCTCGACGGTTTCTGGGACACTTTTTACTTGTATTTTCTTTTTCAGGTTGTCTGTTACATAAATTACTCAATTTTCTCAATTTTGACACGAATATAGTAGTATACTTTCGAGCGGAGGCATAAATATATGGTCAATGTTGAAATTGTTATACAGGGTGGCCACTGAAAAACTGAAGGGTTTGAAAATTTATGAGAAAAAGAATTTTAATTAATAAAAATTTTAATTCATAAAAATTCACACGCAATACTGAAAAAAATCCATTAATTATATTTCCAAATAAAATAATAAAAAATTAAAAAAACATGTGTTTGTAAAAGTTATTTTTGTTTTATATCATTCAGTCTTTCGGTGACCACCCTGTGTATTTCGATGGCCATTCTATATTTACAGTTTCGTAAATTACAAATTATATTTATTGGTCATAGCTTAGGTTTTATATATTAAATGTTATAGAAAATACTATGGTCATCATCTTATATATATATTTTTTTATATTCTTTACAGTCTTGCAATTTTCCCCCTTTCCCCCTAAAACTCGCTAATTTTCAATCATCACGTGATACATGCGTTAATTTCAATAATTTAAGAAAAAAAATCAAAGTGTTTAACTAATCAGTGAAACACTTCAACATTTAATATCGACTTTGTTCGAACGTTGCGAAAATTTCTCCAATGAAACGAATTTTCAATTCTGCATCGATGTGAAATATTTCTAAAGGTATTCCTTTTTTTTTTTTTTTTGGGCATGATAGAATTACCCGAGATGTTTCATTTTTCCTGGGAGGAAGTGGAGAGCGCGTTTTCTCCCGACACGGTGGCCGAAAATTTGCAGAACTGTTATCGCTCTGTCAGATGCAGAATTTGTCGAAACGAGTCGCGTTTGTCTCCCGAATATTCCCCGAAATATTCTTCCTGACTGTCACTGGGCGAGATTTATAAACAACGTGAACAGTCGTGATTCCTCCGGAACATACACTTTCTACGAAACGGCGATACTGACAATGACTATTCTAGATTTAATCCTCCATTCTTGATGAAAAATACGATATACTGGGATAGAATGTTGTAACACGAGCGAAAATGGGTTTGCGAGAAAGGGTAGGTACAAAATTTCGTTTCTCTTTTAGCTACTCGTATTAACTTACTTTAAGGTTTTAACGACACATATATACATATATGTATATACTGCTTAATATGTGAAGTGAAAATTTAAACCCTCTTTGAAACTATAATTTAAAAGGAAAGATATAATGAAATGTTGCCGTATATTATTAGCGTTCTGTTAAGTTATATTTAAACAATGCTTCAAACTAGAAAATAGTTTTAGTTGGATGAAATTGAAATATATATCATCGATCAAATATAAATTTCTGTTAACACTGAATTGAATATAAATGAACATAATAATATCAATAACATATTACAATATATATTGAATAAACATAAATGTTTAAAGATGAATGCATTTTTAATTTGTTATATCAGTAATTTTCAAAAGTCTAAAAGTTTAATGCTAAACGTGAAGCATACAACGAACTGAAAATGCACACATCTCTTTAACATATTTATTCAATACAATAATAAATGATATATCATCAGTATTAATGATTATATCGGTTATTATTTATTATTAGTTCACTAATTTATCTGTACAACTATTCCATTAATCTTGCTTAAAGTCATTACATTATAAAATCTAACATTCAAAGAGAAACAAAACAATTGCTTTACACGCGATCGTTGAATGTCTAACTTCCGAAAAATATCGATCCAACGTATTGACATACGCGTGCGCGTATGAAAAAGCGATAGAACTGCGATTTGGACAGAAATATTTTCTCTATTCGAGCGCTGGCTCGTTGAAGACCACCGAGTTCGAATTCGAGCGCGAGCGACGGTGTCCCTTTTTTTGTATTTTCGTTCCCCGAAAAGCGCGAACGAGATGCACCGGCGTGTGACTAAATACCTCACACGAAAACCCAAAAAAGGGAATCGTATAATGGCGCGATGAACAAGGGGGATCTGATACGAATTCACGGCGTTCCTGTCAGTCTCGTTGTAATAGCGATGCTGGCGCAAGAATTGAACATGCAGTATAGGTTTTCACTTTTTTTTGCAACGAGTTCATTTTTTTTTTCTTTTTGGTAAAAACATTTCTTTTTTCTTTTTTATTTAGAGTTGAATGACACATTAAATTAGTCAGATTCACTGAACTGTACGTATTGAAATTCGAATATCATGGCCTGTACTTTTGGGTTCCAACAGTGCTCACAAATTGATTGGTTTCTAGCGTGTCAAATGTCCAATATCTTTATGATAATAAATTATGCATTGTCTGAGTTATCGTAGTTTGTATCACTTGATTCGGACAAATACAAAAAATTCTCGATAATTACGACTGTATTTCGATTAATTCTACTAGTATAAGATAAGTTACTTGGTTCCTTAAGAAAAGGAGTCAAATGTTAGCCTTGTCTGACTTATTGCACTTTGTACTACTCAATTCGAATAGATACAAGAAATCCTTGATAATTAAGAATTCTTTCGACCAATTTTATACAGATAAATTATTTGGTTTGTCGAAAGATAAGTAACAACGAAGTGTACAAACGAGAAAAGTATATTTCAAAGGGGAATTGTTCACTGACTTACCTCGAACGGCAGATTCGTCGTCGATTTGGAACTTCAAAGATGCCGCTCTCCTGGAGAATCTCAGCGTGTGCCACATGTCATCGTTCAAACCTTGTCCAGCAACCAGCGTCTGAAAACAAACGAGAAATGTCGTGTTATTAAAAAGGAAAATAACTCGATGAATTTTACTCTTCTTACTCTATAGAAATCTGTAATTTTTTTTTTTTTTTTT